TTTCGGCTGTGAATACTGATGTTGCGCATGCGCTAGGCAATCTCATGTGATCCCTTGGTGCAGTTGGTGACTCGATAGAATCTCAATCAAACTTCAACTTACAGGTAAGTCTCGTTTAATTTTACAATTAAGCTTAATGCTTTGATAGCGTTGTCTTTGTCGTGTGTTGTGTTTCAGGTATTTCCACGCCGTATATATCATAGGTTTATGGTCATCATTATTCATTTACATGAGTTAGTGGTGGATTCGAGTCAGAGTAAAACAACTTTCAGTTTACAAGGCCAGGTACAGATTGCCATTTTCTTAAAACAATAATATTCTTTTCGTTGAAAACAAATGACGCCGACAGCAACAGCAGTTACAGTTCTGAGCACTTAGAGCTTTTTAAGAACCTTTCAAAAACCTTAGTTAATTAACTGGGTGAGAGTAATAGCCTTAGCTTTGAAGAACGTTTCTTCTACTACGTGTATTCTCAGTTATGAACACGGGGACTAATTTACAGTCGGAGTTAATACGGGGAATCTTTTCACATGCAAATCTTCTTAATAAAAGTCCTCTGTATTAGCCTCGACTACAAGCTAGTTGCACTTGGTTACTGAGCATACGGGAATTGCTTGTTTTGAATGTCAGAGAGAGATTGCGGCAAATGACAAACTTCAGATTGCAGTCAATAATGTTTCTAGCTGAGAAATAAGCAGATGAAACAAAATAAACCTTGTGGACGCAGTTGGCGTAAGACGACTCAATTTTGTGCAGTCAGTAGACTAAGTTAATGACAAGTAAAGAAAGAATGTGGTCACGTGGTACAATTGACATTTACTGCTTGCCGTACACGCGCTCCGCCGACTAAAGTGCTTGAGCAAAAGCTTCGTGTTTTTACTTGACTCGCTTTGCAAAGCGATTTAAACATCTATAACAGGGTTGTAACAAAGTACGTGCACCAGCAGACCTTTTTATTATTGTTATAACGTCATAGGCTTGGAGTGCAGTTCAAGTATTTAACGAAGGATACGTTATGGGCGGCTGTTATCAGCTTCCTCTCTACGCTGGTGACCCACCCGAGGTAGGGTTTGTTGATCAGTTCGAAATTATTTTAATCATTCTAAGGTCATGGTCATTCCTGAAGCATCTTCGCTGATTAAAATCTTCTAGCTCATGCAGCGCTTCCTTCGTTGTATTTCAATTTCAGGTGGTGGTTAATTCTCTTCGAACCGATAGCTGTGTCAATGTCCTTGCTAGCTTTCGGCGAAGGAAAATGGTAGGATTTTATTCTCAAGGTGCTTTTATGTCCTGTCATTGCATAACACTGAAATTTATGTCCTATATTGCTCAGAAATTATTAGATCTTGGAAATTTCAGGAAAAGTGTGACATTTCGCCATATTCGCTCTCTACCCATAAACTTTCTCTCCATGTTAATTTCTGAAGATCAAATACCTAGAGGGAAGTTCTATTTTTGTACGATTGGCAGACGCAAGGAGAATGGAAGAACTTCCTGCGCCAAAGGTAGGATATGGTTAGAGCTTATTATCATCATCACATCGTCGTCATCATCATCGTCATCATCATTGTCATCGTCACCGTCATCGTCATCGCCATCGTGATCGTCACTATTATTATTATTATTATTATCATTATCATTATCATTATCATTATCATTATCATTATCATTATCATTATCATTATCATTATCATTATCATTATCATTATCATTATCATTATCATTATCATTATCATTATCATTATCATTGGCGTAGTTGAAACAACTCTAAATAACGATCTAAGCTATGCTCAATAGTACAGCCTTTACGAAGTTTGCAGAGTGTGGCGCTGGTCCACCGAGCGGAATTGTGCTGTTCAGGGTAAGAAAGTGCTTAATTCCCTCCAACTGATTATAATGAGTTTTACACAACAGTATAGCTCCTCTAATTCTCTGTAGTGCTGCAAATCACGTTTCTTTCTTGAAGGCCATTTTCGGCTAAGATAACATATTGGTTGGACAAACAAATTGTCGTTGGACTAAAACTATCAAGGACGCATTGCCCCTCTTTAGCGAACAAAGGTAGACTGATTCACTGCAACACTGTTATCTCACTTAGACAGCAACTCACAAGCTTTTAAGGTTTAATTATTCATCAGCATATTATAACCTTGTCCCGATCATGTTTGGCCACAATTGAAAATTCGTATTATCCCGTTTTTGCATTTGTAATATACACTGTTAACCTAAAGAACTGCTATGTTGAAAATGAAATGAAACCTGATTTCCTTTCTCTTATTTCTCCTATATAGGTGAAAGCAAGGCAAGATTATCTCCCCAGAGAAAAATTAGACAAGTATCTTAACACAAACCCGTCCTCTTCTCTCAGCTCGCTGGTTCCTCGCGGAATGACAGAAGATGAACTCACCGCTGAATTTACCAGAAAATTTGAAAGTGTAGGTGTTTCTGTTATATTTCTTTTGCGTTATGTTACCACGGAAAATGAAAAGTAGCGAAACTTATTATCACAGGGACCCCATGTTTAGTGGGTGCCCTGTATAACATTGAAACAAGCGTTAGTAAGTTCTCAAATTTTCTTTCAAACCTTTATTTATCGGACACCGCTATGAAGCAGACACTAGCGAAGGGCCAGTTGGTGTCCGAGTTATTCATGCGGGTATCACTGTACCTTCGTAAATGTTGAGACCAAAATAATGACGAAAGATGAGGGGATCATTGTGATCATTATAATCATTAAAATTTCGTTCTTCTTTCGTTTCTTCCAGTTAACCAATCAACTTATAGAATCATACGAGAAGGGTACTTCATAGCAAGCATCCTGATGCTCAATGTACTAAAGATACTGCGCCACTTCTAGGAGGACTATTTATCAATTATCTTAAAGCCAAGCATAGTCTATGTACAGACGTCTCCCCTCCCTCCGGAAAAAAAATGGGGAGAAGAGACCTGTGTACGGAAGTCTCTTCTCCCAATTCTTTCTGAGGGAGGGGAGACGTCTGTTTACAGGCTAAGCCAAGGAGTGATCTAACAAGAAGTTGGCACTGAGTTTAGTGGGCACATCTTCAGTATAAAAAACCTTTGGAGGTGCTGATGGAAATAATTTAATAATACACTGAGAAGCCTTTTCTTTCTAGTCATAGCACTCTTTTCTGTACACTGAGCTGATCGAACAGAATCGGTTTCTAATTGCAAGTATCAGTCTAAGTTATTAAGTTTGGTGTTTGATTGGCATAATATTTATTTGCAATGCAACCCATTGTCCCGACACGAGGAACTAAGTTATGGGAGGAAACCGCGACTGCTAGGACAATAGGCATGCCGAATAATAAGGGTATGCGACGTCAACCGCAACCAGGGGAGGTGGGAGGGGGGAAACTTTTAAGTCCACTTTGCTTCCACTAAACTCCGTTGAACTGGCCAAGAGGCGGGCAAAATCCAAACAATTCTAAGGAAGGGTTGCAATGTATCATGCCACTAGCGCTCAAGCCTAACACGGCGGAATTTAAAGGAGTTATTTATTTCCCGCTTCACTGGCCAATTATGTATGCAGTAAGAATATTATCCATTGTAGCTTGTTCAACACGATGACACGATGAAAGTTGCGAATGCTGGAACTGATTGTTTAGATAAAAAGCTTTCAGTCTTTCAAAACGTTTCAGTAATTGATTAATTTATTTATTAATTTAAATAAATTTAAAAAAGCATTACGCCTTAAGCTGTCATTGGTGGCGGGCAGTAAATCAGGTTAAGACGATTGACACACAGCACTAGCCTTTCACTTCGTTTTTCGACGTAACTCGTGTCCGCTGACGGTGAGGAACGTAGTCTCATTTTTTACAGAAGTGCTGAGCGAATATGGCTGCCAAACAGGGACTGCAAATGGGCTCATTTGACTTGACATACGCTAAAGTAGCGGAGGCACTCCAGCTTATGAATGAAGCACCTGAGCTGGTTAAGCAGGATCTCGATAATCTTAAAGAAGAAAAGTCGGCCTTTGAAAAGTTGACGAAAACCTTAGATGAAGTCCACTTCGGAAGCACGGTTAAGTTGAACGTCGGTGGAAAGATATGTAAAAGTATACTGGAAACCCTCAGGAAAGACCCGGACTCTATGCTCTGCGTGATGTTTTCAGGAAGACACCATTCATAGAAGATGGGGCATATTTTCTTTTGGTAAGTGTGTAGGTGCATGTTCGTCGTACCGACAGGAGCATGCAAGAGGAATTTTCACCCTTGCTCATGCGTAGATAGGGAAATGATACACATTCTCGATGGTCAGAAGAAAACACTCTCTATCTAGAAGGCGCTGGTTAATTGATTTCACACTTGTTAATAAAAAAAGCGAAATTTTAAATGATGTCATAGTTTCCACGTGAGCTTGTTGCCCCGACAACAAAACTCTTAGGGATGAGCTTCTTGACAAGGTGGGAACTAATCAGGACGCGTTCCAATTTTGATTCCAGTTTACGCTTCAAAGACTCATCAAATACCCGCGCGTGATGAAAACTGAGCGAATCCAGAGTGAGAGGAAGTACGGTAACTGTGCCTCTCGTCTGGTCTCATGGTTTAATGATTGTGCCGCAGCAACAGCAACGATTTCGGTTAAGCCGCTCTGCCACTGTCTTTCTCACTGCGAGAGAGTTGTTTCTTGGTGTTGCGGAAACAATTGTAGCCTCCCACGCAGACGTTCTTAGGGGTTCGTCACGAGTTCCTGCCCCAAGAACGGAGTACGAAGGCTTGTGGGTTTGCTCTAAAAGGGGTCTTGACAAATTGCGAGCCAGCGAGCCATGCGAGTCACCGGTAAAAAAAAGGAAACACAAGTAAAAACTGCAAATTTACAGACGAGGAGTTAAGCACTCATTATACTGATTAGGGTTAAGCACTCATTGTACTGATTAGGGTTAAGCTTTCATTTTACGGATTAGGGTTAAGCACTCATTTCAGGGCTAGGGTAAGGCGCTGTTTAGGGTTAAACACTTATTTACAATGGTTAGCGTTCAGTTAATGTTTTCCGTATTACTGTGTTCGACTTTTATGGTGAATTTTTTCAAGAAGGATACTGGTGCATTCGAAGCAAGTGAGATTGCTGCACTGATGGTTGATAAGAGGCTGTGGAAAGATCTAGTGGTTGCCCGCCTTCGGGCGACCAAGTGAGTGAGTGAGTGAGTTTTCAATGATTCTTCAATGGACTGCATGCTCGCATGACTCGCTGGCTCGCATTTTATGCACACTCCTCTAAAAGTGTAGGGCTTCACCTGGAGATCTTTTCTAATCGCGCGAAATTTCTCATTAGCTCCAAAGCTGAAAGTGTGCTGTGATTGGTCTACGTTTTTATCCGCTCGTTTCAGCGGGGGGATTGCGTGACGAGCCAAAAGAACGTCTGCGGGGGGAGGCTAAAACAGTTGTTGATTCGTTTGTGTCTTCTGGTGTGAGTATTGTTCAATGTGGCCTTTGTCTTTTCAATATTTTGTATTACTAGTAAGCACGCTCGGTGAGAGAAACAAAGCAGCAAGCTTTTTGTTACATGACGACAATCGTAGCCGCTGACGATGAGGAACGTAGTCTCATTTTCACTTCCGGCTTTCACTTACACGGCAGAAGTGCCGAGCGAATATGGCTGCAAAGGAGGAACTACGACATAGCTTATTTGACTTAGCATGCGCTAAGGTAGCCGAAGCACACAAGCTTATGAATGATGCTCGTGAGCTGGTTAAGCAGGATCTCGATAACGTTAAAGAAGAAAAGACAGCCTTTGAAAAATTGTCGAAAACCCTTGATGAAGTCCACTTTGGAAGTTCGGTAAAGTTGAACGTCGGTGGAAAGATATATAAAACTACACTGGACACCCTGAGGAAAGATCCGGATTCTATGCTCTGTGCTATGTTTTCAGGAAGACACGAGCTAAAACCAGACGGCGAAGATGGGGCATATTTTATTGACCGCGATGGAAAACTTTTCAGGTATATAAAGCATACGTGGATCTACTCTTAGAAGGGCTAGGCAAACCACCTTCGTGCCGGCCTCCCTTTCTGAGACATTGTGTAACAGCTTTTTGAAGAATTCTCAGTAAAACGTGTCTTCATGGTTGGCAAGTTCTCCCCCTCTTCCTTCCCCCTCCCCCACCCCCGTCTCTTAATTTTCTGGATTAGCCCCTAGCAAGTGTTCGTTCGTGTTCCGTAAAACCCCGCCACAGGAGCATTCAGGTGGGCTCAGGCGTACATAAGATAAATGATACACATTCTTCATGGTCGCAATGCAACACCTTCTCTCAGGTAGTTGTTATTTGATTGATTTCGCACTTACGCAAGTAAAAACTAACGATACAATATCAATAATTGGGCTATTGCATTTAATATCCGTATCCACCCCCCCCCCCCCCCCCCCCCGCCTGTCCCTTTTTTTTTTATTCCTTACAGTGTGGTTAAAATGTTTTTCCCCCTGCGCGCCTTGTTTAATATGTAACTTTCCACAAACTTTTCTAAATAATAAAAATACTCACGACACACAATTAGACTATTTTTTCCCCCCCCCCCCCCCCCCCCGGTTGAGGACTTTCCTTTTCTTCTTACACCTGAAGATTGGCTAAAATTGCATTCACCCGTGAAGACTTACTTTAAATATGGGCTTACCCAGAATTTCATGAAAATTAAAGCCCTACCGCCAAAGAATTCTATATGTTTGTTTTTTTTTATTCTACCCCTAAAGAAATCCCCAACGTTTATAACTTACCCGTGGAGAATTCCATGGTTCCTCAACTGAGGTGGTGCGGATATTAAATTCAATAGCCCATTTAAGACAATTGATTTTGCTCATTAGCATTAGTTTTATGTCATGTGAAGTTGGACTTGCAGTAATTTTAAAAGTAATTGTACAGGCGTGAACTAAAAAGTGCTTGTAATCACGTCATTTTACGGAACGTTTTTTCTATAGTTGGTCAATCTAATTCTGCAACGATGACGAACTTGCGATTAAAATTCCTTAAAAAAACATTATACACTTAGGTACATATTGAATTACCTTCGTCGTGGTGAACTTCTTTGCCCAGACGACAAAATACTCAGGAATGAGTTGCTTAATGAGGCCAGGTTTTATCAAGTTCAAGGGATAATCTCTCAACTACAAGACCCTTTTACCAAACTATCCAGAATAATAAAGAATGGAGATCATGGCTCCACTGTCATGTCATGGTTGCCTTCTGTTGCTTCCTGTACCTTGATTTTTCGAGCCAGCAGTGACGGAAAGACTGCTGGGGACTTTCACCGCTGCTGTGACAAGAAAGGGCCTACCCTTATAGTGATACAGAGTGAAGAAAACATCTTCGGTGGCTACACATCAAAGTCATGGACATCACGTAAGTGCTTGATCAAATATATTTTGGTCTTAAGATGAATAGTATATTTTGATAGAGTTAAACCTCCCTAATCGTACATGGCGTGCATTTTCATCTTGTCCATATTTAT